GGGGCACGAACCCGCGTCCGGGAAGATCCCACATGCCGCGGAGCGGCTGGGCCCGTGAGCCGTGGCCGCTGAGCCTGCGCGTCCGGAGCCTGTGCTCTGCAACGGGAGAGGCCACAACAGTGAGAGGCCCGCGTACCGCAAAAAAAAAAAAAAAAAAAAAATTATACTGATTGGTTTTTTAATAGAAACCACCTTGAATTTTTGGTATAAGCCCCACTTGGTCATAATGTGTTATCCTTTTTATATACTGGACTTGATTAGCTAAAATTTAAATATTTTTGTATCTGTGTTCCTGAGGGATACTGGTAGGTAAATTTCTTTTCTTATAATGTCTGGTTTTGGGATCAGGGTAAAGCTGGCCTTAAAGTATGAGTTGGCGGTTTTTCCACCTCTTCCTTTTTCTGAGAGAGTTTGTTTGGAATTGGTTTATTTTTTCCCTGAGTACTTGAGAGGATTCACTTGTGAAACCTTTTGGATTTGGAGTGTTTTGGGAGTTTTTTTTGTTTGTTTATTTTGGGGTTTTTTTGGTGGAAAGATTTTAAATTACAAATTGAATTTCATTGATTGACAGAGGACTGTTCAGATTAATTACTCTGTTTCTTCTTGAGAAATAGCTTTGGTATGTTGTGACTTTCATAGAACTTGTCCATTTCATTAAGCCCTCTTTTGCCTTTTAATAGCTCTAAAGTTTGTAGTGATAACCCCTCCATCATTTCTGATTTTGGTAATTTGTGTTTTCTCTCTCCCTTTCTTGGTCAGTAATACTAGAGGTTTAATCATTTTTAATGATCTTTCCAAAGAACCAGCTTTTGGCTACATAGAAATTTCTTTTTTTTTTTTCTGTTCTATTTTATTGATTTTTGCTCTTAACCTTATTATGTTCTTCCTTCTACTTCTTTTGGGTTAATATGTGTTTATTTTCCTAGAGTCTTAAGACAAGCTGAAAGCAGGAGTTGGCAACCTATAGTCTGGGGGCCAAATTCAGTCTGCTCCTTATTTTTGTATGGCCCATGAACTAAGAATGTTATTTTCCTTTTTTTTAATGGTTAAAGAAGTCAAAAGAAGAATAGTGTTCTGTGACGTGAAAATAAATGAAATTCAGGTATCAGTGTCTATAAATAAAGTTTTATTGGAACACAACCACACTCGTTTGTTTACATATTGTTTATGGCTACTTTTGTGCAGAGTTCAGTAGTTGGAGTAGAGACTTCGTGATGTTCTCGTTGCTTTGCACTGCTGCTTGGTGTGCACTATAATCACAGTGTTTCACGTGCCCTGCATATCACTGTACTGTGACATTTTACTTCATTTATTGTCAGCGGATTCCCATCATGTCAAAACAAGAAAAGATGAGAAAAATGGACTTGACATATTTATACTTTTAAAGCACAGTGGAGTGTAGAATATCGAAGTAAATGACAAAGCATTTTGATTATTATGCAATGACACTATAGCTGTGCTAAAGACATACAATTTACACTGACATTACCAGAGTAATCACTCGTCATGGTATTCCCAATTCATAGGAAAGCAGTGGTTAGAAAACTTAAAAAGGAATATCTTTTTAAGCAGAATTTCTTCACAAAATTAAAAAACGAAAATCAGGCTGCACCCAGAGTAAGTTTCTGAGTGTCTCATTTGTTGGCCAAACAAGGAAGTCATCTACCAATGGTAATTGAAGTAAATCTTGCTTGATTGTAGCAGCCAAAGAAATGTGTCTGGAGAAAATAAACTTGCTTGTGACTATTAGCCTTCTGGTGAGAACAGTTGCTATTGAGGACATCAATAATCAATTAAATAAAACAAGGCAAATGATTTTGATTGGTTTTCCTTGGCTCTTGATGAATTGACAGATGTTACCAAAACAGCTTAAGTGTTTATTTGAGAAGTCAATGCTGAGTTTGAAGTTACTGAAAAATTACATTTAATGAATAGTATTTGTGGAATAGCTACAGACAGGAATACTTATAAAAAGTTGAGAAAACACGAATTCTGTACAACCTGAAGTGGAATCTGTTAAGATGTGTTGAAACTCGGGGTGGCAAAAAATATGTGTAGAACAGAAAAAGGCTTAGGTGAACAAATTTACAAAGCTGTGAAAATGTAGCATGGTTAAAGTTGTTGGCTCTTCACTGTTTTTTAAAAATTTATTTATTTTATTTATTTTTGGCTGTGTTGGGTCTTCGTTGCTGCACACGGGCTTTCTCTAGTTGCTGTGAGCAGGGGCTCCTCTTCATTGCAGCGCATGGGCTTCTCATTGCGGTGGCTTCTTTTGTTGCGGAGCACGGGCTTTAGGTGCATAGGCTTCAGTAGTTGCAGCACGCTGGCTCAGTAGTTGTGGCTCGTGGGGTCTAGAGCACAGGCTCAGTAGTTGTGGTGCACAGGCTTAGTTGCTCTGTGCCATGTGGGATCTTCCCGGACCAGGGCTCGAACCCATGTCCCCTGCATTGGCAGGCGGATTCTTAACCACTGTGCCACCAGGGAAGCCCTTCACTGTTTTTTTTTATCAGCAGGTGTTTTGCAGAGAATATTTGAATCTATCATGTAGTAAGGAAGCATTAGTGTCTTAAGACTCGAGTGTTGCTCTTGAGGACTTAGCCATTGTCAGTTCCATGAATCTTTGTCAGAAATAGACTTGCCCCTGCCACACAGCAGTTTGGTGGCTTGTAGTGGTAAAGTTCTATTGTAATCGCTTGAGCTAAGGGCTGATTTGAAATTTTTCTGAATGAGAGGAACTGCTCTCACCCACTATTACTGAACACTGAATGGCTTTGGAAATCAGTTTGGCTGCGGACTTAATAATGTTTCTTTATGAATCAACTGAAAATTACAGGACCAAACAGTGCTTATATGCAAAACTAAAAGCTATTTCAATGCCAACTAATGTTTGAATCACAAGTAATACCAAGCTATTTTATATAGCTTTCCTTGCTGTCAAAAGTTAAAGCAAAGAAGTGAGATCTCCATTCCCACCCAGATTTTCAGTATATTTTTTTGAGCTCAAACTACTTTGATGCAAGTGCAAAGGAAATTTCCATATTATGAAATCCATTTAACTGTGTAATTGAGATACTTCCACTTACCCTTCAATTGGAAGTGATTAACATGCAATGTAATGACATGCTAAAAGACATTATCAAGAGAAGAATAAAATCTTTAAATGCTTTCCAAACAGTGAATATGCTGGATGAAATCATGTGCTTGTGATTTGATATCATTATGTGACAGTACCTATCTGGGTAAAAAGACACTTTTAAACATGAAATGCATAAGTATTATTAAAGAGCAGCATTAACATACGAACATTTGCAATTGATTTTGATGATAGGGAACAGTAACTTTGAATCTGAACTACATGAAATATCCCCCCACAAAAGAGTTCCATTCTTATTAGTAGACCTGTTTTGCAAAAAGTGGTACTCAACTATTACTACTATAATATTTTGAATTTTGTCGATAAAAATTGTGGACATTTTTGTCTCATTATATAAGTACTTACATAATATCCTCGATTTTGCCCATTGCCCCTCGAAGCTAAAAATATTTACTCTCTGGCCCTTTACAGAAAAAGTTTGCTGACCCCTGCTTTCCGTCGAGATATTTTCAGTCTGCATATTTGTGTACCTGTACATATTAGCAGAATTAATGCTTTTGTCTTACAGTGACTAATTTGAAGAATTGTTCTAATTTGAAGAGGAGGCTTTCCGTGGTTGTCCTATTTTCTGTGGGTAGATCTACTGAATGTTGACATTTCTTACTGTGTAACAGTAGTGTACTATTTGCTGCAGTGTGATTCTCAAGTAACATAGATGCTGCCTTCAAGGAACCTATGCCTGGAGAAGGGGCAAATAATATGCCAAAACACATAAAGGAAACAATTTTATTCTCAGAAATGTACTGGAGTCAGCTGAAATGACTAGAACTAGAGACAGTTAATTTTGAGGAAGAGTTTTTGAGCCCCTTAAGAATAGATAAGAAGTAGAGAGGAAGGGCCAAGCTACCCACATCAAAATTTAATTCCCTCAGGAAGGCATGGAGAAATATTTTGATTTTTCTCTACCAAGTGTATTCATTGGTTTACTGTTCTGGGAAATAAGAGTAGGTCAATTTGGACTCATTCCCAAGATGTCATTCTCCTGTATCTCTGGACTTCCTACTCTTTGTAGTTTTCGGTGGAAAGCAGCTTTGCTTAGAAGCCTTGGATGATCTTGGGAGACTTTAGAGAAGCCTGGAAGAAAAGCCAGAATTACTGGGCTGGAGGGCTTTGGTGGAAACCAGAGGTTCAGATGATATTTTTTCCTAGCATCTTATAGAAGGGGAAAGATTAATGATAGTTATTTGCACAGACAAAAAGCTACAAATGACAAGGTCATAGAAGATTACAACATGAGGAGCAAAAAGAGCTCAGGTAGTTTAATTCACAGGTTTTTGCTTAGATTTAAATTGTATGGAACAATTAAATGTATACAAACGATGCATGGACGACTATAGGCTGTTCTTTTAAAATGTGTTCCTTAAGTCAAAAAGTTCCTTAACTTTTTGTTCTTGGGGCCAAATAGTTTTAGTGAGAAATAGTTTCTGCAGTTTTAATTGTTGATGTCATTGGAAAATGTGAGATATTCATATATTTATTTTTACATTGTCAAGAATAGGTGGACTAAAATGAAGCAAGTTCATCTTTATTATCATTGCAGCGCGTAGTAATTATAAATGAGCAAGGAGAGCTAGTGTCTAATTTATGTACCTGTAACATAAATCGATAGTTCAGAGCTGTGTAATCTGTCTCCTTATCATCTCTTTGTGTGTTCTTTTGTGATCTCCTTTGTATTTCCAAAATTGGGAATTTTGTTCAGTATTATAAGATGCATTCAGATAACCTCAAAGAGTGAGAGAACCATTTTGACTTTCAAAGTAGTTTTAAGCAGATCTTTTAAATCATAATAAGAAATGCTTTAAAGTCAGTACTGAAAACTTAATAAAAAGTCATATTTTATGTTTAGGTCTCTGAAAGATGAATTTGGCTGAGATTTGTGACAATGCAAAGAAAGGAAGAGAATATGCACTTCTTGGAAATTATGACTCATCAATGGTATATTACCAGGGGGTGATACAGCAGATTCAGAGACATTGCCAGTCAGTCAGAGACCCAGCTGTCAAAGGCAAATGGCAGCAGGTAAGGTCACGTTCAAGTGTTCAGTGAATGAGGGCGGCGGTCTGTTATACTTGAAAGATAAGAGTTAGAAAATTAGTTTGAGATTTTTGTAAATAGCTCTTATTTGTCTGAATACTGAAATATATTTAAAATGTACTCTGAATAGTTTTCTGTCTTTCCCAGTTAATATTTTATATACTTTTGATAATATATTTTATGAGACATATTTTGAAGATATTTAATTCAAATTGAATCTACTTTTAATTCTTTTCCCTGATTAGTTGACTAATTGTGTGTGATTACAAATTTTTGAAATAAGGTATTTCTACTTGCCCTTTCCCCTTTCATTTTACATGTAATTTTGACTCATTTCATAAAACTTTTCCTTTAAGAAGATTTCCTCTTCTTTTGAAAGACTGCTTATAAATACAAAGGAGTCAGTAATCTAATAAAAAACACTAATATATTTGCTGTGTCTCTTGACTATACAACTTGGTTATATAATATTACAGTTAATAAAAACTTGAATTAGAATTTCCCCACTTACTCTTACAACTTAAAATCCTTTTAAAATTAAAAGTACAAAGTCAGGCATTTCTTTGAAGTTTCATTTATGTGCTAATGCCTTTCAAGTGTTTCTTTTAAGTTTTCCACTGGTCAGAAATTGATGGTTTACTAAGTTTTCAGGGTAAATTTGGCTTATTTTCCAACTTAAGTGTTAACCAAATTATGTTGAGTGAGAACAATACACTCTCTTTAACTCAAGTTGAAATTTTTAGTTGTGTTCTATCCTGCATCCTAGCCCCAGGCAGGAGTTGTTTATTAATCTAGCATGGAAATATTTTTGACCTGTTCTTAATTGTGTTAAATAGTGACCATTTCTGTTCTGGTACTTCTACTATGTTTCTTTCTATTAGGTTCTGAAATTTCATTTCTCTACGTGTAGCCTATAATTGCATATATTAGTTGAATTTAGATTTTTCTTTGGTTCTGTGACTCCCTTATATGTTCCTTTCTATATATTATTTGAGATAAAGTTAAGGGAAAGTTTCTTATGCTCTGCTTTATAGGAAAGTGTGCTTTCTGGTTAAGAAAATTAAAATTGTTAAAATTAACTTATAAATGTAATTTTCAATCTGTTACCTGCTTGTCTTTGAAAATAAGTTTGGGCTCAAAGTTTGAAAACATGAGAATTTCCACATAGTTGGTGCTCAGTGAAGGTTTTTAAATATGGGAAAAATCTTGCCTTTGAGCTCAAAATAAACTTTAGCCAGGACTTGAAAGATTTTAAACAAGGCGAAAAGAATTCAGACCTTGGTGAGGCAGAATTTGAATTGGAAATGGGTAATTCTCAGTATCAATATTACACCACTTCAGGCTTTCAGATGCTCACGACAGGCATTTCGTATTTTGTGATATTGGGGATAGGAAATGCTGATTTCCTATCAGCATTTTGGCTGACAATTTTTTTTTTTTTTTTTTTTTTTTTTGCGGTACATGGGCCTCTCACTGTTGTGGCCTCTCCCGTTGCGGAGCACGGGCTCCGGATGTGCAGGCTCAGCGGCCATGGCTCACCGGCCCAGCCGCTCCGCGGCATGTGGGATCTTCCCGGACCGGGGCACGAACCCGTGTCCCCTGCATCGGCAGGCGGACTCCCAACCACTGCGCCACCAGGGAAGCCCATGGCTGACAATTTTTGAGGAAGCTATTTACAAATATATTAAAAGTATTTAGCATAACATTATAGATTTCTGGGAATGGTTAACTTCTTACTTAGTTGCTTGTTTTAAATTGTCTTAATGGTCATCACATTCTTTGGTAGAAAGAATTTCTTCATGAAAGATATATAACGACGTGCACTAAGAAAAGATATATATTACACTTATGTCTTCAAACCAATTCCTGGCCTCCTATGTAACTTTAAATAGTTGTTTCTTAAACTATGTTTTAATTACCCATTTTGCATACTTTGAACAACATTAAGAAAACTAGAATTCTATGGCAATTTGTTATTTGCAATTTATATAAATATTTTGTAGCATAAAGGCTATTTTTTTAAGGTTCGGCAGGAATTATTGGAAGAATATGAACAAGTTAAAAGTATCGTCAGCACTTTGGAAAGTTTTAAAATCGACAAGCCCCCAGATTTCCCTGTGTCCTGTCAAGATGAACCATTTAGAGATCCTGCTGTTTGGCCGCCCCCTGTGCCTGCAGAACACAGGTAACTGGGACTTTACATTGTCTTTAGGTACTTCTATAGTTAATTGATATTCAGAGTGAAGAGAGTAAAGCTTTATTTGAACAAAGTATGAAAAACTGTTTTGGGGGGCATGTAAATTTAATACCTATTTATAATTTTCACACGTGTGTTTACAGGGTTTGTATTTGATAAAGAACAGAAGTATATCATTTGTCATCTGTCTTGCTTTTGGAATGTTTTACTACTGTAATCAAAACAATAGCAATCTACTGCTAGTCCTAAATTTTAGTTTAACTGATAAATTTATCAGTTAAGCAGGTTCTTTTAGATTTCATAATGTCAGCATCAGAGCTTTTTTGCTTTAAAAGACTAACAACTTTAGATGAAATGGTGGACAAATTGGGTTCATCTGGTTGGGCATACAGCCAGTTTCCTGCATCTTAGTGTTGAAGGAACCTAACCTTTCCCTAAAGGTTCCCTAACCTTTCCCTAAATTTGCCATAAAGGGCAAATTCCCTAGTGTGTCAATAAGGCTTGAAGTTTATCTCCTTGATGCTCTGTGCATCATCTGCATTAAACGTCTCTCTTCTTCTTCTTTGCTGCCTTCCTGTCTTTGCATAGTCTGTTCTTCCTCAAGGAATAACCACAGTCCCCATCTAAGCAGCTCATATTCATTCTTCGAGTCTCAGCTAAACTGCTTGTCTTCTCTGCAGCCTTTTCTGGTTTCCCTCGTATAACAGTGTTCATCCTAGTTATGTTGTGTTTCTTTGTCTCTTGACAAGATTAGGAGTTTTGCAAGGGCAAGGACCATGGTTTTATTTACTCAAAACAAATAACAAATAGCAAACTTCCACTGCTCACACAGTGTTTGGCACATAGTAGGCATTCATCCAACATTGAATTAGTAACTTCATTAATTCCACAAGTAAAGAAACTGAGGTTTGGGAGACCTTGGCCTGTAAGTTAGGCTAGACCAGGAGCTGAGCTTAGGTCTTTCTGGCTTTCAGTCCCCTTTTTTGTGAAGTTGTATATTGTGGCCAGAGTGTTGCATCATAGAAAATAAATATCCCTTTGGTTAGTAGCTGTGATCATGTATTTAGCTTGTTGATCTCTTAAAATTTCCTAAAAGCATTTAAAGAACTGTGAAATGTAGTTAATTTATTCCTTCAGGATTTTTTCCCACTGAGTTAGAGATAATTTTATGATTCCCATTATAAAAACACTAGATGATGATTCTTTTCTAAGGTCTACAGTAATATAGTGCTTTCCTCAGATGTAGCCACCCTCAGGTGTTTTGGATTAAGGTGACTGTTACCCCTCAAAAAGCACTGTTTCAAGAGTCATAGGAAGTTCCAAAGTAAATATAATGGCATTTTGATGGATCAGACTTGAAAATTTTATGTATGTATAATAAATACCTTGTTTTTTCCTGAAAGTCATTAATTTAGAAATACATTTCTTGTTTAAAGCTAAAAGCTGACACTATTTTTATTTAGATATAATTGACATGGCATTGTGTAAGTTTAAGGTGTACAGTCTGTTGATTTGATATATTTATATATTGTGATAGGATTATCACAGTAGCCTTAGCTAACACCTCTATCACGTTAGTTACATAGTTATCATTTCTTTTTCTGGTGGGAATTAAGATATAGTGTCTTCGCAACTCTGAAGTATGTGATGCAGTATTGTAGTGTTTAATCGCTGTGCTGTGCATCAGATTTCTAGGACTTATTTAACTACTGGTTGCAAGTTTGTACCGTTAAACACCATCTTCCCAACTCCCTGCCCCCACCCCCATCTCCCAGCCCCTGGTAACTACCCTTCAACTCGCTGTTTTTACAAGTTTGGCTTTTTCAGATTCCACATATAAGTAACATGCATTAGTCCTTCTTTGTATGACTTAACTCACTTAGCATAATGCCTTCAGGGTTTATCCATGTTGTTGCAAATGGCAGGGTTTCCTTCTTTGTCATGGCTGAATAATATTCCATTGTAGTATATGTGTACCACATCATCTTTATCCATTCATCTGTTAGTGGTCACTTACATTGTTTTCATATCTTGTTTATTGGAAATAAAGCTGCAGTCAATGTGGGAATGCATATATCTCTTCAGTATCCTGTTTTTATTTCTTTCGGTTATATACCCGGGAGTGGAATTGTTGGATCGTCTGGTAGTTCTATTTTTAATTTTTTGAGGAACCTTAATACTCTTTTCCATAGTGGCTGAACCAATTTTCATTCCCACCAACAGTGCACAAGGACTCCCTTCTTTCCACATCCTTGCCAACCCTTATCCCTTGTCTTCTTGATAATAGTCATTCCAACAGATGCGAGGTAATGTCTCATTGTTGTTTTGATTTGCGTTTCCCTGATGATTAGTAATGTTTAGCATAGTTTCATGTACATGTTGGTCATTTGGATGTCTTCTCTGGAAAACTGTCTGTTTAATTCCTCTCCCCATTTTCTAATTGGGTTGTTGTTGTTGTTATTGACTTGTATGAGTTCTTTATATATATTTACTTAACATTTTGGATATTAACCCCGTATCTGATTTATGGTTTGCAAATATTTTCTCCCATTTGGTAGGTTGCCTTTTTATTTATTTATTTTTATTGCTTCTTTTGCCATACAGGAGCTTTTTAGTTTGATGTAGTCCCATTTGTTGATTTTTGCTTTTGTTACTTGTGCTTTTGGTGTCATCTAAAAAGATCATTACCAAGACCAATATCAAGGAGCTTCCTTCCTGTGTTTTCTTCTAGGGTTTTGCAGTATTGGGCCTTATGTTTTAAGTCTTTTAAATCCATTTCGAGTTCATTTTTGTGAGTGGTGTAAGATAAGGGTTCAAGTTCATTTTTTCCGCTGTGGTTATCCAGTTTTCTCAACAGGATTTGTTGAAGAGGTTATCCTCTCCCCCATTGAGTGTTCTTGGCTCCCTTGTCACTATTATGTGACAGGGGTTTATTTCTGAGCTCTCTATTCTGTTCCACTGGTCTGTGTGTCTGTTTTTATACTGTTTTAATTACTATAGTTTTGTATCAATAGTAAGTTTGAAATCAGGAAGTGTGATGCCTCTGGCTTTGTTCTTCTTTCTCATGATTGCTTTGGCTATTTTTGGTCTTTTGTGTCTCCATACAAATTTTAGGATTCTTCTTTCTAGTGCTGTGAAAAACGCCGTTGGAAGTTTGACATGGATTGTGTTGAATCTGTAGATGGCTTTGCGTAGTATGGATATTTTAACAATATTAATCTTCTGATCCATAAATGTAGGATATCTTTCCATTTGTTTGTGTCTCCTTCAGTTTCTTTCATTAAAGTCTGGTAGTTTTCATTGTACAGATCTTTCACTTGGTTAAATTTATTCCTAAGTACTTTATTGTTTTTGATGCCAATGTGAATGGGATATTTTTGTTTCTTTTTCAGATGTTTTGTTGTTAATGTATAGAGGCACAACTGATTTTTGTATGTTGATCTTACATCCTGCAACTTTAGTGAATTCATTGATTAGTTTCAAATGTTTTTTTGGTTGAGTCTTTAGGGTTTTCTATATTTAAGATCATACCATTTGCAAATAAAGACAATTTTGCTTATTCCTTTCCAATTTGGATGCCTTTTATTTCTTTGTTTTGCCTAATTACTCTAGCTAGGACTTCCAGTGTTATGCTGAATAAGAGTGATGAGAGTGTGGGCATTCTTATCTTGTTGCTGTTCAAGAAGAGAAACGTTCAATTTTTCACTGTTGAGTATAATGTTAGCTGTTGTCATATATGGCCTTTATCATGCTGAGGTATGTTCCTTCAATTTGTTGAGGGTTTTTATCATGAAAGGGTGTCGTATTTTGTCAAATGCTTTTCTTCATCTATCAAGATGATAGTATGATTTTTATCTTTTATTCTATTGATGTGGTGTATCATATTTATTGATTTGTGTATGTTTATCCCAAGGATAAATCCCACTTGGTCATGTTGTATTTGAATTTGGTTTGCTAATATGCTGTTGAGAATTTTTGCCTCCATATTCATTGAGGATATTGGTCTATAGTTTTCTTTTCTCATCGTGTCCTTATTTGGCTTTGGTATCAGAGTAATGCTGGCTTCATAAAATGAGTTTGGAAGTGTTCCCTCTTCCTCAGTTTTTTGGAAGAGTTTAAGAAGGATTGGCATTAATTCTTTTTTAAATGTTTGGTAGAATTCGCCAGTGAAGCCATCTGGTCCTGGGAATAATTTTCAGTATAGGAAGTACCTGTTCGTAATTGCTAGAGCACCATGATGTATTTCAGAAGGCAGTGGCCACAGATAATAACTCTAATATCTAATATCTGTGGCTCAGACTGAATAGAAAGTGTGGCTGGCGTTTTCCCATTGATGAACACTTTCCTGAAAACTTCTTCTCATTAGAGAAACACCAGCGCAATTATTTCTTTTTCTTTGGCCTCCTGTAACTGCCCATAGCACAGATCTGACTTACTTTTATACTTGTTTTAATCGTTATTCTCAATGAAAGTGGAAGATGAATGGACCAGAATATGTTTCTCCAAACCTCCTTCCTCCATACTAAATTTTAAAAAAGTTTCCCTTGTGTGTAACCATTGTGTGTATTTTTTTTTTCTCTGTGGATCAGAAATCCTTAATAAAAGCAAATCTAAGACTGTATATTGCTTGGGGAAAAAAGATTCCCATTTCCACATATATCATCAACAACAATGGAAAAACACCAGCAACTCCACAGGGTTCTACTAGTGAAGGAATTCTGTTTAATACCTTGAGTAGTATCATGGGATTAGCAGTTTTAAACTTTAAGAATAAAATCTTTACATAAGCAAATCCACAGATCCTTCACCAAGTAATAACATCATAGTGATACCTACGTAAGGCAGATGTTAATGAAGTCAACTTTACACAGGTTTGTAGCACAGAATGTGTGCATGAGCTGATAGAATAAGCAAATATTAAGATTGTAAGTTTAGGGTTAAAAGTTATGGGAGGTTAAAATTGTATAATTTTTTCCTTTTAAAATTTT